AAAATAGACCGTGGTCGGCGCGGGGTTGTGGCAAAACTCGGTTATCTGCAGAATATGCAAGTAGGTGGTTTGGTCATGGTAATCCCCGGTTGCCCAGACCAAAGAACAGGGATAACCTCACTCGGAGACTGTGGTTAGAGAGCCAAACCTGCAAGATAGCGGCATGTAGCTCAGGGTCCACAGTGCATTGAAAATCGATATCTAGTTCATCAGGTCATACGCAGTTTAGACAAGAATAAACGTCCAAAGTACCAAATACNAAATCCAGAGAAACTGATGATCACTACCACAACCACAAAGAGAAAGCTATGATTCGTTGGCTGGTTTGAATACAGGCATTTTTAGCCAACTACCAGATGTTCACCCGTCCGATAATAATCCTCTCACTTTAGCTTGAAAACACCTGCGTCATGTGAAGACATTGAATAAGGCTTCTCACCAAAACTGGTTTTCTGGGAGTATTTCGAGAGGTATAAGAGAAGGAAGATCAGTCGCTATCGGAGACACCCACTCCCAACCATACCCTAGGAGACCTTTTCATAAAATGCAGTAGCCACACTCTCTTTAGTTCAGGCCCCAGCTCCAAGTGCTTTATTGTACTTCTCCCTGTCTAGTCCTAGCTGGGAAATTACTACCCCGATTGTAACTCTATCCGACTGGTTTATTTTTATTAACCTTACACCGACAGAAAATGAAGGAGACACTATTTGTTTGAGGGTTTTTCGTTGATCGGTTAGTTTTTTGTTACTGTTATATTGTGGTGATGTATGGTACAACCTGCCTTCTTTGCGCTGACTGGTTTTTGCTCAGAAGCTTAGACTTGGTCGATGTAGATTTGGGGGCGATCGAGTGTTAGATGTATGCCAGGTTCCAAGAAATTCTCTGTTTGACAAAGGCCTCGTAGACGAATTGGATATTTTCCGATTAAATATGTGTTCCGCTTGGTCTCTATGGCGTGATACGAGTAAAAGCGTATCGTGTCTTTTGATGTTCAGTTTTTACTTGTGCACGTCACTCGCCAGTCTTCTCCTTGCTTGACCGGTTTGATGTTGAGGTCTTTGCAAATGGTTCGACAGATCATAGTTGTTCGATTTTTATCTTCCCGTATTTTCTTGCTTTTGCTGAGGAGATTCTCTGTAGGTTTGTCACTGGTTTGTGGGCAACTTGAATATCGCGTGGTTTCACTATTCTGGTAGTTATTTCAGACATATTACTCACATATGTTGCGGGTATTGGTTTATTCAGTTGTCCATTTGTACTTGTGCGCTGATACTTTCGTATTGTTGTACAGTTACCGAGCGTACTAGTTACTGGAGTTTTTGCTCCTCTTATCGCCTTGATCTTTGGGTGCTTTAGCGTGTTTTCACCTTTTAGAACTATGACCGAGTTAAACTTTTCCGGTGACAGATCGGGTAGTTGATGGTGAATGCCAGTATCTGATCTCTCTGAATCTGCTTTGTGTTTTATCACTAAGACATCAGAAAATGTTAATCGGTCATTTCGTTTCATTTTCATGGTCAATTTGATATTCGTGAAGAGATTTTTGATGCTGTTGAAGGTCTTTTAGACCTTTAATTTCTTCCGGATCACAAACAATTCATCTACATATCTAAGCCAACGTTATGGTCAGAGTTGTAACGGAATCTTTGTTTTAAGTTTCTAAATCACAAATTCATCAATGAAACCGGAGCCTGGTGAACTCATGGGTTTTTCTTTCACCTGTACTTTGACGAAATCGGACCAACGAAAAACGGTCAGACTATTTCTATCCACTCCTCTATTGATACCCGACGACTGAAAGCCAACCACTCTGCCACTCACCGATCTTATAAAGAAGTGGACACTCATAAGCGTTTATCCAGCTGTTGTATCGATAATATCACCTCGATTATATATATATATATATATTTACCACCGGCTTGAAAACAAGCATGGTGCCAACGCAACAACAATGACAGTGAAGGGGATAGGTGGATTAGGATACAGAACATGGGGAAAAGTGAGTGAGACAGTTAAACATGGAAAATACAAGATAACAGAATTTTTTTGTGTGTTTAACTGTCTCACTCACTTTTCCCCATG